TTCTCCTTTGGCCAGCTCAGGGGAGCAGGGAGAACTCAGGACATGCTGGGGGGTGGTCCTGCCCCTGAAGAGGGTCCCCTCCTGGCCAGAACAGGGCTTGCCTTGTCCTGGCTACCTAAGGGAAGTTAGGTCTGCTCTGTGCTGCTGAATAGGCTGGTTGCCTGCCTTCAGCCTGCACAGCCTGGACCCCAGTGGAATGAGTGGTGGAGGGGGCAGGCTTACCGGGGATGCCGTGCTGCTGGCTGGACCATGGCCTGGGGACAGAGACAGGAGTTAGCACCAGGGCTGTGAAGAAGCTGGGGCTACCTTCCAGGAGGGGACGGGCACTCAGCTCTTAGAGAATAGGGAAGCAGGAGCACCTCCCAGGGAAAGACCCACTGGCCATTTTAGGGCCCAGTGAGGGTAAGGTGCTGACCTATGATCTGGATTCTACAAGTCAGGGAGTATGGCCAGCTGAGGTCCCCTGTGCAGGAGAACGACAGAAAGGGTCAGAGGCCCTGGGGAGTGACTGGCAGGAGTGGACAGTGTGGGCAGGACTCCGGGGCTCCAGGTCCCACCCGCGCTGAAGATATACTCACGGGGGGTGGAGGCTGGGCGCCAGAACTCTTGGAGATCACAGCAGCCACTGTACCTAGGAGAGATCAGGCTTCCATGTGAGGGGTGCAGGGTGATGTCACAGCTTTGGTGTCAGAGCAGGGCACAAGCAGGATCGTCATTCCAGGCAGGGGTTACAGACCCCCTCTCTCCACCAGTGCTGTTAGGAGAGGGAGGGCCCAGGAGAGGGGATTAGGAAAGGTCTTGGGAGCACTTCTGTCCTGGGCTCACAGGGGAAGCCTCACAGGCTGATGGGCTTCTAGGAGAAAGTGTCCTGAAAAGGGATCAAGGACCCAGGAAAGGAACCAGACATGAGGGTTTGTCTGAGTGGAAGGGTCAAGCCTGCCGCTATGTGTGCGGGACAGGTGGGGAGACCCGGGTAAGCTGGGTCCCTGAATGTGGTGCCCCTGCTGTGGCCAGACCCTCGCCCCCTCAGGCCAGAGGATGCTGAAATGTGACGGCAGCCCGTCCCCTATCTCCATCTGCCTGGAAAAGAGGCATAAAGGACATCCCAGGACCTCCACCTGGCCGAACCCAGGTGTTCTGCTCTCACACAACAGGGACTGCGGTTCATGCATCTGCCATTAGAAGATGATCCCACCTGGCCTGTCAGGATCTTCCACTCTCCTTTGTGTGACCCTGACCAGGACCGGCCTCAGATCCTGAGGCTGCAACTCCCCCTCACAGGGCGTGTGGACTTAAAGAAACCACGGGAGGTGCTGTTTACTGAGTATTTAGTCCTATGCGCACAGATGTAGGTTTGCCAAATGAATGCAGACAACCCTGAGGGGCTGTTCCCTAGTTGTCCCTAATTGAAAACCGAGGAAGCTGGGAAAGAAGCACACTGGTCAGCAGCTGGTGAGGAAGGAGCCAGAGGGAATGAGAGGGAAAATCCAGGGGGCAGTTGGGAGGCCTGGAAGAGCCAGCCCAGAATCCTAGGGCAGGACGGGGTCCCCTCCTGGCCAGGGGTCAGCTGGGGGACAGGATCAGCTTTTGGGAAATGCCATCGTACCTTCCAGTCCTTGTGTGGAACAGGAGACACCCCAGGGCGGCCGCCAGTGCCACTCCGACCAGGACCCCGACTGCAATGCCAATGATGGACCCCACAGGGAGACCTGTGGTGCTTCGTTCATCTGAAATAAGAAGAAAAGTGGAGGGGAATGAGTCCCAAGTCAAATCTGGCGAAGCCAAGAGGGGCCGTGGGGGAAGGGCCTGGTTAGGGAGGAAGGAAAGGCCACTGAGGTCCGGGTGATGTGTGTGTTGTCACCACAGTGTCCCCACCCCCTTGACCGCTGCATCATTTCTGTTCCTCACGGTGAAACCCTGACTTGCTTCCTTCTTCACATTGTCCCCCCACCCCGGGGCCAGTGCCAGTGTCCTGTTCATTTTCCTCTCACATTATGCCTCTTCCCCTGGGTCTTTTTCCATTTCTATCAATGTTCTTAGAGGGAGGCCCTTACCTGTTCACTCAGCACTTTAAGGAGAATAACATTAGCTGACTGCTTTTGAGGTCGGTCCTGTGCCAGGCACATGGGAAATACTTTACGTTTATCTCATCTGCTGCTTCCTGGCCCATGAGGGGCCAGGTGTCATCCCCACTGTGCAAAATGAGCATCTGACTATGTAAAGGGCTTCAGTAAATCCGTGAAGGTCATGGAGCTGGAACGTAATCAGACAACACTTAAAACCAAATCCCGGAGACATAGCTAGTAACAAAAACATTAATATCAAAAGGACAA